CCCCAAAAAAAAACAACCCCCAACAAAAACAAAACAAAACAACCCCGGTCGATCTCGCACAGCACGTAGTGGTGGTAGTGCCACTTCTTCCTCTCCCTCTCCGGACAGATGTACTTACGGGAATACTTGGGCAGCAGTGGTGGGTGCTCTGGTGTGGTTTGCTCCTTTATTCCTATCAAACCTCTATCATCCTTATCACCCTTCCTTCTTTTTTTTTGGGAGGGGGGGGTTGTTACTTTTTTGTAACAGCTCTAATCCTCCTCACTTATATGACCTTATTGTGTTGCAAGTGCCGTAAAACACTTACTAATGAAAGAATCCCCTTTCGGCTCCCGCCCGAACAATCTAAAATAACAATAAGATTACCTGCAGGAACATGTTGGGCAGCGAGCCCTGCGAGAAGGGTATGTCCTGGCACATGGCCAGCCGGTTGATCTCGCACAGCACGTAGTGTCGGTAGTGTCGCTTCTTCCTCTCGCGCTCCGGGCGGATGCACTTGCGGGAGGACTTGGGCAGCAGCTCCCCGCACCTGAACGACCACGGCATCTTCTGGATGCGCATCTGTCTCCGGCACCGGACCTTGGCCTTCTTGCAGGTCTCGGCACACGGGTACTGCGGCTCAGGGTCCCCCGCGATGCAGCGGGGCAAGTAGAGGCCGCAGAGGAAGTTCCGCAGGTTGTTGGAGCAGCCGGCGTCCATGAAGGGCCACCAGGGCTGGAGCGCCCAGTACACCTCGGCTTGCGTCCGGTGCCCGAATTTGTTTGGCAGGCGGGTGGCGTTGTAGCCTACCAGACCTTTGCACATCGGCACCTGGTGGGAAGGAGCAATCACATGTCTGTGGATAAGCTTCATAGTTCTAGTAGGTTTGGTGTAATGGCTAGTTTGTTCGCCGTGCGCTCGAAGGACATGCGTTTTGGCGCTTCTTTAGTTCAGTTGGTATCATGGTGGACTATGGAGCAGATGTCCCTGAATCGAATCCCAGGCTGGGTGTTCTTGAACCCAGGTCGTTTTGTGGAGTTTTCAGGGCCTTCGACCCATTTGATTCAGTCATATTGGAGATAGATATTCTATTCGGAAATAACCTGAAAGTGTTGATGGGGGCGTTAAACCCATACACTTACACTTGCTTGGACATGAGTTTGATTTCAGTGGCCAGTGCAACCTTTCAGTCGGTAGAACATCACACATGAATGTCCTACCATGAAGGTATGTTTTGTGCTTTCTTTTACGTGTTCTTTCTGCCTTCTTTATCATGACTTTCCGCTGTGTAGCTCCTCCCCCCCCCCCCCC